AAATAACTGATAAGGAAGAAAATGGCTTATTTATTACATTTTTAAATAAATATTTTTGATTATTTTTGCTTTAACTTTTAGAAAATTGTATTTTTGTTCATTTTTTTAGGAGTAAATATATTAAATGATGTTTTCCTGTTATTTATTTATTTTCGGTTTATTCAATAAAAAAAGTAAATGAAATATCGCTTTGTTTACATTACTTTCAAATGGAAGATTTAGGTAATGCAAAAATAATGTCCGGAATAATGGAAAGTTTTATGGATGAAGCGCATAACATGACGTGACATTCAATAGAGATTTATGGAAAATATGGTGACAAAAAATGTTTCCTCTACACATAAATAACGTTTAAGGACTTAATAACTCTGTTGAATGTATACAATAAGTTTGAATGTACTGCATTAAACACATTTAGACACATATGCAGTATTATATAAGCAATCAAGCATAGCAATATAAACAATATTTACAGTGCAGTAAGTGCAGTATAAACGGTATATACAGTAATGTATATGCAATATAAACAATGCATTCTATATACACAGTATACATGCAGCAAAAATGGTATATACAGTGAAATATATGCAATATAAACAACATATTCTGTATATTATATGCAACATAAATGGTATATATAGTAAAGTAAATGAAGTATAAACGAATATACAGTACAATAATGCAGCAGAATAGCCCAGCATAATGCATTTACTTGCAAATGCAGTATGTGCTTGTGCATATTTAATAAATTCTCCCGAAGATATTTATTTTATANTTAAAAGCTATATATTAGTAAACTATTAAAGTAATAATAAAATTATTGCTTATAAGATATGATAGATAGCAAGCCATTTAAGTAACTTATAGCATTATCACTACTAAAGTATTGAGTAAAATAAGTCATATAACTGCTATAGTAGTATAGTTCAAGTGGTAGTTTAAGTGATAATACCTTATTGTTAATAGTACTTACTGTTAAAATATTATGGGTTAATAAGGCAGTATGAGTAATTGATATTAATACTAATTAAATAGCATGGTTACGCAACTATAGATAGTATTAAGTAAACTTTGATGGAATTATTTTTATTACTTTTATAAATAAATTTTGTAAATAGTAATTAAAACATTTATTTTATTTACGTTATATTGATAGTTTATTATTTAGAGTAAAAAGTTATTAATAAATAAAAATAAGAGTTTTTATTGTTTTAAAAGAAAGCATTTAACTCAATTAACTAAACTTTAAACCTTGTTTTATTCTTTTAAAAGTAAATAAATATATTAAATGATGTTTTCCTGTTATTTATTTATTTTCGGTTTATTCAATAAAAAAAGTAAATGAAATATCGCTTTGTTTACATTACTTTCAAATGGAAGATTTAGGTAATGCAAAAATAATGTCCGGAATAATGGAAAGTTTTATGGATGAAGCGCATAACATGACGTGACATTCAATAGAGATTTATGGAAAATATGGTGACAAAAAATGTTTCCTCTACACATAAATAACGTTTAAGGACTTAATAACTCTGTTGAATGTATACAATAAGTTTGAATGTACTGCATTAAACACATTTAGACACATATGCAGTATTATATAAGCAATCAAGCATAGCAATATAAACAATATTTACAGTGCAGTAAGTGCAGTATAAACGGTATATACAGTAATGTATATGCAATATAAACAATGCATTCTATATACACAGTATACATGCAGCAAAAATGGTATATACAGTGAAATATATGCAATATAAACAACATATTCTGTATATATATATAGTAAAGTAAATGAAGTATAAACGAATATACAGTACAATAATGCAGCAGAATAGCCCAGCATAATGCATTTACTTGCAAATGCAGTATGTGCTTGTGCATATTTAATAAATTCTCCCGAAGATATTTATTTTATAAAAATATATTTAAATTCTTTTTATTAAATTTAAGTAAATATTAATATTTTAATTTAGGCCTATATAATATTTTAATGAATTTTTTAAATTATTTACATTTTATAATTAAAAAAATAAAACTAAATAAAAATAACTTAATAAAATAAGAGGAAGAAAATAAAATAATTTAAGAAATTATAATTGAAATTTTAAAAAGATCTAAGTTTAATTAAAATTTATTTATTTTAAAATAACTTTTTTAAATTGGTTTTTTAAAGGCGAGTTTAAGGATGTGCTTTTTTTAGGAGAAAAATAAATTTGAGAATTAAAAATATACTTTATACTTTAATTAGCTAAAACTTTACTTTGATCACCATGCATCTAGTAAAAAATATTTCCTTCAATAGGAATCGAAAAAAACGAAAAATATTTGCCTCTTTAAACTTCTAAACATTCAAAAAAAATGTATAGAATCATCAAAAAATCATTTAAATCAATAAAAATCGACTGGTTAATACAGTTCTAACATTAAAAATATGAAACACGAAACAAAATTTTCAGATAAATTTTGTTTAAAAAAAATTAAAACAAGTGTCGTTTAATTTTGTGTCTAATTCTTTAAAAAATCCACTTAAAATTTCCAAAAATTTATTTTTTAATTTAAAATTAGAATTATTATACTTTACAGACCCACAAATTACACATTGGGCATCGGTGTCAATCGAATTTCTCTTCTGGTAGTTGACGTTACTCACACCGAACCATGGGTTATCAATACTTACATTCTGTTAGTCAGACGTTTGCCAATTACTCACGGCCAATCCCCTTTCGATCCTGATCAGCCTCACCAGATCTGCAGCCTGAAACAAGTAAGTGTTAAGCAATTTATCAGTCGAAATTCCTGTAAAGAATTGAAAATTCTTCAGTATTTAGCTGTATATTTTAAAGGGAATAATGAAATCTGTAAAGATGGGATCCCAAGGGATGCGCGTAACAAATGTATTGTTTGATAGCTTGAAAGACGAGTAAATGCCTCAGGGTTCAAATATATTAAAAATATTAAGTGAGATGATTAGGAAGTCAAATCTTAGGATGTGTTTTGTAAATTATTATAAACACCTAAAATATCATCTCTTGAGAATTTAAGACAACAGAACTTGGTTGTAAGTTATAATAAAAATTTATCATCACCTGAAGGTTAAAATTTCATTAGAAAAAAGGAAAATACTTTTCTAAAATGTCGTTTTTTTTCCGATAACACTTCGAACATCTTTTTCTTCTTTTATCTGTAATATATATAAAAAAATAACTGATAAGGAAGAAAATGGCTTATTTATTACATTTTTAAATAAATATTTTTGATTATTTTTGCTTTAACTTTTAGAAAATTGTATTTTTGTTCATTTTTTTAGGAGTGTGAGATGCAAGTATTTCCTAGTGAGAGTTGTGCCATTAGAACTGATGTCACGTCTGTACCCAATTGGTCTACTTACCTTAATCTTCGTGCAAATCTCACGATTTGTACCTCGGGAGATGCATCAGGTAAACAAATATGATCCCTGCATTTTTGTAAGGTGTCCTTTTTCTTTTGTGTTATGAGAAAAAAGTTGTTTATATCTCAATATGTATACTTTTTACTCTTATAAATTCCACTTTAATAATAAATAAATAAATATTCTACATGTTTGTCGTAAAATAGATGAGTTGTTTATCTGTAATAAACTTAAAAAATATTTTTGCAAAAAGTATAACCATACATCTAGTAAAAAATATTTCCTTGAATAGGAATTAAGCTCACGCATATCTTGATTCTTGTTCGTTATAGATATGATTAGGGCATTTAACATGTTACCATTATAGATAAAATAATCCTTTCATTGTTCTATTTCACTTTTGCCTCGCAGCATGATTGAAAAATTGTCTTTACCATTTGGATATTTTTTAAAGAAACCTTTAAAACTTACATATTTCCAAATTAGGTCGTTGGGTTCTTCCATGTACAACGTGTTCTGATAGGAAGAGTTGTTTCTGGAGCGAAGCAGTGTGGCACCCCTACAATTGTCGTTACGTAGTACCATCTAAAGAAGTATTATCTCGTTGTTTAGATGGTAAAAAGGTAAATTTCTCTAAAAATTTACGTTATTTTTCTTTAAATTATATATAGCGGTTTAATTAAGATTTAGTGTTATTTTTTTTATAGATATTATTTATAGGAGACTCGACTAATCGAGGAATGATGCATTACGTTATGGAGAAACTAAATGGTTCTTTAAACCAGTGGGACAAGACACATGACATCAGAGTATATACAAACGTCAACAAAGGAAGGACATTCGTTAGTTTCGCCTACTATCCACAATTTTGGCTACCAACAAACCAGCGGCCAGTGTTCGATAAGGCATTATACCAACTGATACAGAGGTACCAGTGAATTTCTGGTGAGAAATGATCCGGTAACAGTAGCTGTCGTCGTTCATTAACTTGTGTGTTCTTCTACACTTTTATATATTCAATTAAATCATTTAGAAGGATATAATTAGCTTTAATTTAAGAAAATGAAACATTTTACTAAGCTCAATATTTGTACAGAACATCTTAAAGAGGCTCGAACATATACTCATCATTGGCATTGTTTTCTCTCGTTACGCTTCAACAAATTGATTTAATTAATGTTTGTTTTCAAAGACAAACATTTAATTAACTTGATGAAATGATTAATTTTACATATTTAAGTAATAATATAATATTAGTCTTGATGGGTTTTATACTTTAATTTTGTTGAAGGAAGTGATGACCATGTTGAATTTTTTCTCTCTTCTTAAGGTAAATTGCATTAAATTCAGTTTTGATAGAGGAGGCCATCCTTGTTTGATCTTTGCCTTTTGTATTAAATATTAGCAACAATGTTGAACATTAATTAGAATTACAAATGCAAAATGAACGAAGCCCTTTGTTGTATTATTCAATCGATTCCCTCATTGTAAACATACTTTCGTCTCATAGAATAAATTCAAAATTTGCAGTTAATAAAGTGAACATTTATTAAAATTAATTATATTTTAAAAGATTTTTATTAATATAATTTAATTTTACTTAATAGAAAGTATATATTTAAAATATTTAGTATTTTATTTCACTTTCCTCTGAAGAGGTAATATTTTATTTTACCTCTTGCATTCTTGCTTCCTTCTTAAACTACTGTACCTTTTTTTAAAGTTGCGAATAATTTTTGAATATTTTAAAATATTTTTATTTGTATTTGAATGATGAATAATTTAACACTTAACAGATCTCGTCCCTTGGAAAATAATACAAATACCATTTTGGTAGTTGGAGGCGTGCATTGGTTAGCCACGCAACATCTTCACATGTTACTAAGAGCAATACGGGTGTAAGTGTAATGATGGATATTCATTAATTAAAAGATTATTATAACACTAAAATATAATTATTTATATAATTTTATAGAGAACGGCTTCATGGTATTCGTCTTGTTATGAAAACTTTGGGTTCAGGATTCCATCAACCCGTTGAAGGCGTTCATACATTATCAATGGTAATTGTTTTACTCTTAAAATCATTTTATAAAAATAAATATAAATATATAAATTTTTAAATTATATACAGGAAGATCAACGAAAGTTATTACTTCACAGCATGGGTCTTGCTGAATTTGCCAAACATTATAATTTCGACGTTATTGATACATTTAACATAACCATTCCTAGATATAAGGATTTCCTTCAAGGAAAATGTGCCTGTCATTTTCATAGGGTAGAGTAACCTTTATGGAGACTTTTTAGATAATTTGATCTTTAAAAAGTTTCAGTTTATATGAAAAATTTAATAAATTTTTCAATTCAGGTGGTAGATGTGACCGAGTCGGATACAAATCAAAGTGGTTGGAGGAACAAGAAGAATACTTTTTCCAACCAGCCAGAGTTTCACGTCGAGGGAGATATTAATGCCATTTATAGTGACATATTACTAAGCAGACTTTGTGGAGATTACATGTCCGATAGATGACATCTAACCCCATTGCAATCTGTTCCTAAATTATTCGCCAAATTAGAGTTAATCTTGTAAATATCTACTTAAATGGGCCACCGTCGAACAAATGGAAATCAATCAAAAAAATCTCGTGATGCCATTTAAAAAAATACAACAAAGTACTGTATCTTCGTGAAAGATGTGGACCAATAAAGGACTTATAAATTTGAATAAACGTGAAACAACTATATTCACCCCCACTCGATCGATAGTATCGTGTGGATGATGTGAAGTACCATCGCATTGCAATATGTTGCTAAAGCTTTTGTGTATTAAATCATCGATTTTGAATGATCTAGTGTCATCAATAATGAATAAATTAGACTAATATATCACGAAAGCACCTTAGATACGCGCCAAAAAAGTTTTATGCACAAATTATCTTTAAAGAATTTGCTGCTAAACATTTATCTAAATAAAATGCAATAAAATAAATAAATAAATATATATATATTTATGTTTTAATTAAATGTGTTTTTTTAATTTCTATTATTTAATTTTACTTCAATAACATCTAAAATATTCATAAAAGTAACTCATTAATTATGAAAAATTCATTTCCGTTGACGAGTAAACGATAAATTTTTTGGATATTTTAATAAATATTTCCAATTTTTAGCTTTTAAAAAGGATTTTAAACTAAATTTATTGTTATTACTGCTGTTTTTAGCTTTAAAATTGCTTATTTTATTAATATAATTGCTTCATAATATGGAAAAATTGTTTCAAAAAATAAGAAAATTCTATTTAATACCGTTATAAATCTTTAATTTATAATTGTAGATGCTGAATTATTAATTTTTTAAACTCAGTTTTGTGTTTTTTTATTTTCTTCAAAAATTAAATTTTATTTATTTATTATTATTTAATAATTTTTAATATTAGATTAATTAATGCAATTATTAATTAAAATGGAATAAGTTAATATAAAAAAATATAAATAAAATTTCGGAAAATTAATCAATTTATTTAATTATTTAAATGTTATATATTTCATTTTTATTAATTTTTTTCAATAAAATTCCACATTTATGTTTCAAAATGATAGAAAATTTCCTCATAAATGTATTCATAAAGATATGACACATTAAAATTTTACTATTACTAACTGAATAATTAATATACTAATTAGAAAATAATATAAAAATATTCCTATGTTATAGTAATTGAAACCTACATTACTAAAAGTTGTGAGTTCGGTTCTTAAATGTGCACTTTACTATCCGAAGTGAGCATACCTTATAAGAACGTGGCTCAACATGGAATCAGCCATTGATTCTATCTTCAATAACTATGATATTCAATATAGAACTTTGCTATAATATAAGAATATTAATACATTATAGCTTTTAAATCCTACATTATCCGAGGGTTCGGTTCCTAAGTGATTGTTTTTCTATTTGAAGTTGCGATTATCTTGTAACAATGTGATTCAAAATGGAGTTAACTTTTCGTTCTGTTTACAAACACATTTCTAATAATAATTTAGCATGTTTTAGTTGAATTTTAAAACAAAATTAAATAAAAGTCTCTTAATTTTCATCATTTTGAATCCCTTAAAAATTACATCTAAATGCTCTACATTATCTCTATTGGATTACTTCAGGCGGCATTTTCCGTCAAGATTGTACAGAATAACGCAATGATTATATATTTTTTTTAAATAATATATATAATATTTCACAAAGTACATAGATATGGAAGGCAAACCATTGATTATAATTAAGAAAAATCACTAACAATCTGAATCACTTCTATCAATATTTGTATGCAGAGCACGATTTCGATATTCGCTATGAATTTATAAATAGATTTTCATTTATTTTTTACATGATAAAATTATATTAGAAGATTTCGAAGATCATAAATACAAACTTCAAAGATATTTGATGGCAGAAAACAATTTTTTTTTAAAATTTTATTTCATATATTTGAAAAAAATTTGATTCATTCTAGAACTTTAAAGTTGGGTAAATGAACAGATTTTCCATTTAGAACTTTAAAAATTCTTTAATTTGATGATAAAAATTTACAGATAATTAATATATTATATAATATTATACAAAAAAAGAAACCAAGATAAAAAGAATCTGTTTAATTTCACATCGGATACGAACTCGCGACTAATTTTATGTGGAATAATCTAAGAAATCAGATATAAAATTTAAAGGCAAGAATGTTAGTAAAAGTCGTGGGTTCATTTCCTATTCGTCGCTAAAGCACAGTAATATTTGTATAAGCTTTAATAAATGGAATTTTTGCATCTAGAACTTTTTAATTAATTAGTGATGAATCTATATATGAACTATATACAGAGTAAATTCAAAATAAAAAAAGCCAATAAAGTAAAAAAAGTTTGATTTTATACAGGATATAAACCCAAAATTATTGTAATCTCGAAATTCCTTAAAAGACGTATGAAATGTTTGAGTATCTTCGAGATTTTATCAAAAAATCGTAGGCTCGGTTCCCATTCTTTACTAAACTAGAATTCTTTATATATAATCGATATATTATGATAATGTTTTGAACTATCTAAATGCCGAAAAAAAGACCAAAATGAAAGAAATTTATTTTGTTTTATTTATAATATAACCAAAGACTATTTCACCTCGAATATTCTTAAACAAAAGTATAAGAGGCTTTGAAAAATGGTATTTGAGATATTAACAAAAGTCGTGGATTCAGTTTGCATTGGTTGCTAAATATACGTTTCTATATATAACCTATCAGATATGATTTATTAACTGTTAAACCTTAAACAATCATTACAACGCTTTAAATTGTTTTATAACAATTTCCACTTAAAAATAAACTATTTTCAGTATCAATTTTTATTAAAAATATTGAAAGTTATTTTTAAATAATAAGATAAAAATGAAGCAATTAATCAATACATCAGCTTACCATTAACTTACATAAGATCAAACAAACGAGGTATTAATTAAAAAAACCCAAAAAAATTAAAAAATTAAAATATTCTTTAAATGTATAAAAAAGTAAAAAATTTTATAAATGATTTACTATTTTAAGAAGTAATTTAACCGCTTTTATCATTAGTTAAGACGTTAATGTAGGGTACTTTTCATTACTTTAACTTTACTAGAAAGGTTTCGATCACGATACACGCGCAAATTAATTGACGATCCTTCAGTTAGTCAGTGGGCTTGACTTTTATCTTACACACAAGATAATACTACAACAAATATGCCTTAAACTACTTTTCTAAATGGAGTTTTAAACGTCGTGCACTCTAACCTTTACGACTCTAACCCGGTTGATGAGTCGTGTGTTAAAACAAGAGTACTCTTCGATATCTCCGACAGCCATTACGCTCAATTTTCTACCAACTTACTGCACTTACCTCCATTACTATGGCAACGCTCCTGCTCCTCCGTCAAGACTTTATAAGTTTAAGTGATCGTTGTTTTTACTTTCGTCTATCTTCCTATAGATTTAGAGTGGATCCCGTTTTGTTATCCTCTTCTTCCTTTTCTAGTCTACTTTCTATGTACATATCTTTGTATTAAAAAACACACTTGAGAATGCCTCGTCTTTCCCTTAGGTAAATTTATCATCATGTAAATATATTAATTAAATTTTACTTTCGTCCATCCTCATGCAGATTTAGAATGAATTCTGTTTTGTTATCCTATTCCTCCTATTCTACTTTATATATACATAATTTTCTTTAAAAAAACACTATTTAAAACGTTTAATTTTCTTCTTTCCACATAAATTTATTATCGAATAAAGGTATTATTTATAAATTTTATTAGATATTTTAACAATTTTTATAAGATAAATTAAGTTTTTAAAGCTTTCAAGGGCAATTTTTAGCAACTGTACGTGTTTGATAAATTTAATAGTATAATAACAAAAATTGTAAAGAAAACAGTTTTAAAAATATTAAACCTAAAACTTCATCTAAATTGACTTTAAAAATAAAGAATAGATAAATAGAGCTTGTAGAAGCATAGAATTTAATTCAGCATTGATGCAGTTGATGACCTATCATTGAAGTTATTAATAGACATAATTAACGAAGAGTATTAAGAATCTATGGAATATTCTATGGGATCTTAATTGTCTATTTACCTGTTTCTCTTCTTTCCCAATTACCTTCGACGTTTACTATAACTCTCGAGTTACCAACCAAATATTTCTTCAACTGCATTCACTAATTGCATCTGCAATCTGAGGATAGAACTCGTTAAAAGTAAGCAACCTCATTTGTCTGAATCGTCGATCTTCTATATTTCCATCTTCATCCCCCCCTCTCTCTCTCTTTGTCTGTCTGTCTGTCTGTCTCCTTTTTTTATCATAAAGTTCTTGAGTATTTCTAAGTTGAAAAATACTTCTTATATTATCTTTATTTTCAATGTTTTCAACGATATTCTAACATTTTCGATATTTAAATTGTCGAATAAATTTGAAAGTTTTCCGGTCGTATAACTTTTTTGACATTATTTTAGGCAATGTTGAACGTTTTCAGCATTGTAATTGTTGAGTAATTGTTAAAGTTTTCAACTTGTCCAATAAATAATGTCGAAAATAAATGTTAAAAATATTATTTATTTTCAACAACATCCAACATTTTCAACATTATTCAAGGGTTTTAGCATATTGTTAAATATTGTTCAGTATTTTCGACATTGTTCTAATGTTTAAACTTAAAAACTGTTGAAAAATTATGAAAAGCTTCAAGTTGTCCAGCATTTCTAATGTTTATTTTCAACATTTATCATTTAATAATAATCGATAATATTTTGGTGAACATCATTGAACTTTTCCAACATTATATTAACGTTTTTAGCATAGAAATTGTTGAATAATTATGAACGCTTTCAACTTATACCACAATCAACATTTATTTCCAACATTTACAATCGTACAAACATTGAAAAATTTTTAAAGATGACAATTTTCAAGTAATCCAACATTTTCAATATTCTACATTTAAATTTTACTTGATTATAATATTAAAATGATACGTTTTTATGCATTTTTTCTTGTTCAGTTATGAATATATTTTACAGAAAATACATCAAGTTTTATATTCAACTTTCAAAAAAATAAGAATAAAGACAAGAAAAATAAAATAGTAAGCAATATAAAATTTTCCTACTTTCCAAAAGAAAAACATAAATTTTTTTGAAGAAAAAAAACGTTATAAAACTGGACACAAACTTGCCAAATAAAATGTACACAGGGTAAAAATTCTTTGAATTCAAAGCTTTTCTTAGATGACAATTTTTTGATTTTCTGAATTTTCTTAATATGAATATTGTCGTTTTTATGTATAANCTTATTTATTACATTTTTAAATAAATATTTTTGATTATTTTTGCTTTAACTTTTAGAAAATTGTATTTTTGTTCATTTTTTTAGGAGTGTGAGATGCAAGTATTTCCTAGTGAGAGTTGTGCCATTAGAACTGATGTCACGTCTGTACCCAATTGGTCTACTTACCTTAATCTTCGTGCAAATCTCACGATTTGTACCTCGGGAGATGCATCAGGTAAACAAATATGATCCCTGCATTTTTGTAAGGTGTCCTTTTTCTTTTGTGTTATGAGAAAAAAGTTGTTTATATCTCAATATGTATACTTTTTACTCTTATAAATTCCACTTTAATAATAAATAAATAAATATTCTACATGTTTGTCGTAAAATAGATGAGTTGTTTATCTGTAATAAACTTAAAAAATATTTTTGCAAAAAGTATAACCATACATCTAGTAAAAAATATTTCCTTGAATAGGAATTAAGCTCACGCATATCTTGATTCTTGTTCGTTATAGATATGATTAGGGCATTTAACATGTTACCATTATAGATAAAATAATCCTTTCATTGTTCTATTTCACTTTTGCCTCGCAGCATGATTGAAAAATTGTCTTTACCATTTGGATATTTTTTAAAGAAACCTTTAAAACTTACATATTTCCAAATTAGGTCGTTGGGTTCTTCCATGTACAACGTGTTCTGATAGGAAGAGTTGTTTCTGGAGCGAAGCAGTGTGGCACCCCTACAATTGTCGTTACGTAGTACCATCTAAAGAAGTATTATCTCGTTGTTTAGATGGTAAAAAGGTAAATTTCTCTAAAAATTTACGTTATTTTTCTTTAAATTATATATAGCGGTTTAATTAAGATTTAGTGTTATTTTTTTTATAGATATTATTTATAGGAGACTCGACTAATCGAGGAATGATGCATTACGTTATGGAGAAACTAAATGGTTCTTTAAACCAGTGGGACAAGACACATGACATCAGAGTATATACAAACGTCAACAAAGGAAGGACATTCGTTAGTTTCGCCTACTATCCACAATTTTGGCTACCAACAAACCAGCGGCCAGTGTTCGATAAGGCATTATACCAACTGATACAGAGGTACCAGTGAATTTCTGGTGAGAAATGATCCGGTAACAGTAGCTGTCGTCGTTCATTAACTTGTGTGTTCTTCTACACTTTTATATATTCAATTAAATCATTTAGAAGGATATAATTAGCTTTAATTTAAGAAAATGAAACATTTTACTAAGCTCAATATTTGTACAGAACATCTTAAAGAGGCTCGAACATATACTCATCATTGGCATTGTTTTCTCTCGTTACGCTTCAACAAATTGATTTAATTAATGTTTGTTTTCAAAGACAAACATTTAATTAACTTGATGAAATGATTAATTTTACATATTTAAGTAATAATATAATATTAGTCTTGATGGGTTTTATACTTTAATTTTGTTGAAGGAAGTGATGACCATGTTGAATTTTTTCTCTCTTCTTAAGGTAAATTGCATTAAATTCAGTTTTGATAGAGGAGGCCATCCTTGTTTGATCTTTGCCTTTTGTATTAAATATTAGCAACAATGTTGAACATTAATTAGAATTACAAATGCAAAATGAACGAAGCCCTTTGTTGTATTATTCAATCGATTCCCTCATTGTAAACATACTTTCGTCTCATAGAATAAATTCAAAATTTGCAGTTAATAAAGTGAACATTTATTAAAATTAATTATATTTTAAAAGATTTTTATTAATATAATTTAATTTTACTTAATAGAAAGTATATATTTAAAATATTTAGTATTTTATTTCACTTTCCTCTGAAGAGGTAATATTTTATTTTACCTCTTGCATTCTTGCTTCCTTCTTAAACTACTGTACCTTTTTTTAAAGTTGCGAATAATTTTTGAATATTTTAAAATATTTTTATTTGTATTTGAATGATGAATAATTTAACACTTAACAGATCTCGTCCCTTGGAAAATAATACAAATACCATTTTGGTAGTTGGAGGCGTGCATTGGTTAGCCACGCAACATCTTCACATGTTACTAAGAGCAATACGGGTGTAAGTGTAATGATGGATATTCATTAATTAAAAGATTATTATAACACTAAAATATAATTATTTATATAATTTTATAGAGAACGGCTTCATGGTATTCGTCTTGTTATGAAAACTTTGGGTTCAGGATTCCATCAACCCGTTGAAGGCGTTCATACATTATCAATGGTAATTGTTTTACTCTTAAAATCATTTTATAAAAATAAATATAAATATATAAATTTTTAAATTATATACAGGAAGATCAACGAAAGTTATTACTTCACAGCATGGGTCTTGCTGAATTTGCCAAACATTATAATTTCGACGTTATTGATACATTTAACATAACCATTCCTAGATATAAGGATTTCCTTCAAGGAAAATGTGCCTGTCATTTTCATAGGGTAGAGTAACCTTTATGGAGACTTTTTAGATAATTTGATCTTTAAAAAGTTTCAGTTTATATGAAAAATTTAATAAATTTTTCAATTCAGGTGGTAGATGTGACCGAGTCGGATACAAATCAAAGTGGTTGGAGGAACAAGAAGAATACTTTTTCCAACCAGCCAGAGTTTCACGTCGAGGGAGATATTAATGCCATTTATAGTGACATATTACTAAGCAGACTTTGTGGAGATTACATGTCCGATAGATGACATCTAACCCCATTGCAATCTGTTCCTAAATTATTCGCCAAATTAGAGTTAATCTTGTAAATATCTACTTAAATGGGCCACCGTCGAACAAATGGAAATCAATCAAAAAAATCTCGTGATGCCATTTAAAAAAATACAACAAAGTACTGTATCTTCGTGAAAGATGTGGACCAATAAAGGACTTATAAATTTGAATAAACGTGAAACAACTATATTCACCCCCACTCGATCGATAGTATCGTGTGGATGATGTGAAGTACCATCGCATTGCAATATGTTGCTAAAGCTTTTGTGTATTAAATCATCGATTTTGAATGATCTAGTGTCATCAATAATGAATAAATTAGACTAATATATCACGAAAGCACCTTAGATACGCGCCAAAAAAGTTTTATGCACAAATTATCTTTAAAGAATTTGCTGCTAAACATTTATCTAAATAAAATGCAATAAAATAAATAAATAAATATATATATATATACACAAAAAAATTAGATTAAAAAAGAAGAAGAAGAGGAAGATTTTTCAAGATTTGATACGTCAACAGGAATTAAAACGAGGATTGGATCACACTATTCACTTTCTCCACTTCATTTTTTTTTAAATATTTGTTACTTTATTTCAATCCCTTTTCTTGTACTTCATTGTTTTGTTATAGCGTGAGAACAAAGCATTACGAATTTAAAGCGAATTTCTAGGAAATTACATTCGTGACACGAGAAGCTTTTTATCAAAAAACTAACGATGAAGCTTATCGGCATCAATATGTTTCTTTCTTTCTTTCTCGTTCTTATTTTTATTTTATTTATTTATTAGTTTTTTTCGTAATGTTGTTAAAGTCGAGAGCATCTCTAGCTAGATAGATACTTTGATACCAGAAAGGAAATAAATAAGAAATGAGACATTCGCGTATGGAAAAATACTAACATTTGAATTGCATTAAGAAAATATTGAACAAGATTCGTGATGTTCTTTTTTTCCCCCATATATATATATATATAATCCCGATTTCCAATAGGTTACAGAATGAAGAAAGTGCTTATTTCCGCAGGAAGCTGAGATATTTCGAAAAGTGATCATCTCCAAAATTCAGTTTGTCGACGATAGCATAAAGAACATACAACCTCCAGGGAATTCTGGTCAATTTTTCCAAACATTGAAGAAAGAAAATTTTTTCTTCTTATTTTCTTTCAAATAAAACTCTTGAATTTCTATACATATTTGATCGTACAAACATTGAAAAATTTTTAAAGATGACAATTTTCAAGTAATCCAACATTTTCAATATTCTACATTTAAATTTTACTTGATTATAATATTAAAATGATACGTTTTTATGCATTTTTTCTTGTTCAGTTATGAATATATTTTACAGAAAATACATCAAGTTTTATATTCAACTTTCAAAAAAATAAGAATAAAGACAAGAAAAATAAAATAGTAAGCAATATAAAATTTTCCTACTTTCCAAAAGAAAAACATAAATTTTTTTGAAGAAAAAAAACGTTATAAAACTGGACACAAACTTGCCAAATAAAATGTACACAGGGTAAAAATTCTTTGAATTCAAAGCTTTTCTTAGATGACAATTTTTTGATTTTCTGAATTTTCTTAATATGAATATTGTCGTTTTTATGTATAAAAATATAATATAATATTGTTTAATTTGTATATTATTTTACATTTTAAAAAGTCTAATTATTAAAACAATGTTTTTTCAATGAAATTTAATTTAAATTAGAAAAATTCGAAGAAAAAATAATGCAAGCCGACGATGAATTCATCATTATCNTTTTTTTTTAGTTACGACGAATGCAGCCGACATCACCATATTAAAATTAAGTTAAATCGTGTCGAAACATGTCGAAACTTGTTTATTCCTCCTGTAATAGTTTCAAAAGAGCAATATACTCTTTATATAAGAATTTGTCTCATGTTTACTGATTATTATAACTGTTGCAAAGGGAAATTCAGTTTAAGACACGAAGTGCCATGTCAGTTTGTATATTTGACGTAGACCCATAACGATACAATACTTACACACGAGACAAGATTATTCTTATATTAAAATGTATATTTTTGTTTATTTTCAGGTGGTGATCAAGTTATTAGAACACGGTGCTCAAGTTGATCTTGCTGATGCCGATCAAAGGACCGCACTAAGAGCAGCCGCCTGGGGAGGTCACGAAGAAGTGGTCATTAAGTTATTGGAACACGGGGCTTGCGTCAATAAAACGGACAACGAAGGTAGAACAGCACTGATAGCGGCGGCATACATGGGGCATACGGAGATCGTGGAACATCTGTTAGTTCACGGAGCCGAAGTGAATCACGCAGATTCCGACGGTCGCACCGCCTTGTCCGTTGCATCCCTGTGCGTTCCCGCTTCCGAAGGTCACGCGGGTGTTGTTAGCTTACTGTTAGAACGAGGGGCTGAAGTGGATCATCGAGATAAGGACGGGATGACTCCTCTGTTGGTAGCTGCCTTCGAAGGGCACAGCGACGTCTGTGAGCTATTATTAGAAGGCGACGCGGATGTAGATCACACGGATAACAGTAGAAGAACCCCTCTCTTCGCTGCCGCCTCTATGGGTCATCCGGAAGTGGTAAATCTTCTCCTGTTCTGGGGTGCTGCAGTGGATACCATAGATGCCGAAGGAAGAACGGTGCTTTCGATAGCAGCGGCTCATGGTGATACGGAAGTGGTTCGCCAATTGTTAGATAGGGGTCTAGACGAGATGCACAGAGATAACGAAGGTTGGACTCCTTTGCATTACGCAGCCTTCGAAGGCCACGCCGACGTTTGCGAGTTGCTGATCGAAGCTGGAGCTAGAGTGGCAGAAGTGGATAATGACGGAAGAATCGCTCTGATACTAGCCGCACAGGAAGGACACACGTCTCTAGTTGCTAAACTGTTAGACGTCAATAGAACGATGATCGATCATCGATCCCACGATGGAAAGACGGCTCTGAGGGTGGCAGCTTTAGAAGGACATAAGGACACGGTAAGTAATTATAACGGTGTATTATTCTCTTAAGTTGATAGAGGATCTTCAAACGTACAAAATTAGTTTCCATGGCGCAAAGAAAACTGTCAACAAAGTAATTACACTACCTTTAATTACAATAAGGTTGCGCTTCTTTGCCATTGTTCTAATTAGGCAAAATTAGGATGATGATTAGTGTCGAGGAACAACTCGTTAATTTAGCATGTGACCCAAATTATGCGATTTTACGCTTGGAAGAATTCTACTCGCTTGTATCAATTGTTTCAGTTCCATTTAAATAATAAAGTGATATCGTTCCTTCCTTCCTCGCATACACGTGGAATTTTGACCATGAGAAAATTGTTCAATTTCAAATACGAAACCGGTTACGTCATAACGACAAGTAATTACGTAATTCTCAATATTCATTAAAGTTTATGTCGCAAAGGTTAACTAAATTAGATAATCTGTAAAATTTATGTTGATTAATTAGAAGAAACAATTGCTTTTAAATTGGTAATTAGCGTCGTTACTGTAATTTCATACATTTATTAAAAAGTTTTAAAAATTTATAAATTTTTTAAATGTTATTTTCAGAGTTTGTATTGATCGGAACTGGCTTAATGTGTTTAGTTAAATTATTTCCCATCGTAATTAATCTAAATACATTTTAATGGACTTGTTTTTTTTTAAAAATCGTAATTGTTTTTTATTGGTTGAAAAAAACCACGTGAATTTAAAATTCAAATTTCGTATTACGATCGATTTAAGTTGATATTTTTATTTATTGGATGTCGAAAGTATTGAATTGTGTTGTTTATTAATTGAATTTTTCTTGTTTATATTATTTCTCTCTTTTTAAATTAATAATATTTTGTTAAAATAATAATTTCTTACCTTTTCACCGACGTTAATTTATTCGAGATAATTTCATTATCGTCTTGCTGTAATATAATTTAAGTGTTGCCAGCTAAAAGCGCTATTTTTAGCAAAAAAAAAAATGAGAGAATTATAAATTATTTATTTTATATTCTTGTTAAATATTGATCCACTAAAAATAGTAATTTTTGGCGAATCAATAATCTAAGTTTTTCTCCGTTTCTAAAGCTAGTTATGTTTTATACGCAAGATGGCGCTACTTAACACAAACATCAAAAACAAAAAAAAAAAAATGGCGTAGAATAATTTTGTTCCGACCTTAAATTAATTATTATTATAGAAAAATAAAAATAATAAAATAAGGTTTAATATTCTGTAGAGAATACTTTTTTTTATTTTTTTATTTTACACGAATCGATTTTTGTTGGCTTTTAAAGATGATGCCGAATAATAATTAGAGCGTAGAAAGTTCTGTGTAATTATAGAAGTCGAGTAGTTTGCAGCCTTCCAAAGGGGACGATCGTAAATTAAGTTGCAACATTATCCGGTACGACTAGTCAGCCTTTTATGACGTTGCATCTCACGTGTCGGTGTTTCTGTCCAATAGTAATCAATTGTTTAGTCTCATTTCCAACCACCCAACGACTGGCATCGTAATTACGTGGCCGATGCACGCGAATCGGTTGTTTGCTGTGTTAACGATTGTTCGCCACGCTTTTACCTCTAACTTGTTTTATTGATGGTCACATTTCTGTTTAGCTCCTTTAATGGCGAATCTCTCCATCTCGTTACGTAGTCGAAATTGAATATCTTTCAATCAGATCTCGAAACGGATGGAAATGCTTCTTCTTCCTTCGTTTCCTTTGCTTTGGTACTTCTAGCGTGATGAAACATTTCCGGATGGATGGACACGCGGAATGGTGAATTGCGTGGATCTTCAGTGGCTTACAAATTGGATCCGGTTATGGTCAATTTGGATGGGAAAATAACTCCAGAAAAATCTTTATCCACTCGAATTTTCTTTAAGAAACTGTTTTGTTTTCGTTTAACTTTTAAGAACAATCTACTCACCGTTCGCCATTTTTTTTCGCAATCACTCCATTGAAATACTACGAATTTAGGATTTATTATACAACCGAATCGACTTGCTTTCTATTATGCTCTGTGGCGGAAGAGTCTACAAGGAGTCTGTTCTTCGGGAACAACAGAACTTTTTATCTGGAAAATTTTATTTGTTTATAAAACAATATTTATAGTAGAGTTACCTCAATCAATATGCCAGCTTCTGTAATTCCTTGTAGATACCGAAACGTATTTCGGGGTGTAAAGTTCTATTCTTCAAGATCTTGACGAATTTTTTTTTTCTTTTGAAGAATTAATTAGCTAATTTAGGCTATTAGATAATTATTAACAATCTAATTATCTCTCGAGGGCCGTCTCCATCATCTCAAGGGCCTTGCGCTATCTCTTCGACCACGTGTTTTGTATCGGGAAACTTCAAAAAGTTTTGCTACTCCACTGCTAAAAGAGAAAATTTCACACTTTTTAAAAAAATATTTTGGGAGGTTTTAAGAATATAATTAACTTATTAATTTCTGCGAAAACGCGAATAAAATCGATCCTATTGATTCGATATAAGAACGTGTTTATTCATCGTCACTCATGTTGATCCCGTGCTTTATCTTTTAATGAAAGGATTAATAAGTTTTTTGTAATTTTTTCCGCTCTCACGATATAACTTATGAGATTTTCTACATAAAAAATGTAATAATAATGAGAACAAAACGTTGAAAAATGAATAAAACATTAGAAATAAAAATAAAGAAACTTGACAAGTTCGAAAACATAAAAATAAAAAAATAATCCGGATATTTTTGATATAAAAATAAAGAAAAATGGCTTAACAATAATTTTATTATGTAGGTTTTCTGTTAAAGAAAACATGTCAAGTGGGCTTTTTTTTTAATATTACATTAAATATATTGTTATACAAAGTAAGTATTTGTATTTGGTTTTTGAAGGAAAAGGTTCTAAAAATACAAATATAGGAGATATAAATATAAATATTCAAGTTATAATACAAATATTTTAACAATAGAAAGAAAATTTCGAAAGTTTGTTGTGGATATAAATTTAAATTTCCTTTAACACAATATGAGCTGTTAGAATATTAAATATTGTAACAACATATCAGAGTTGATGTTTAAATGCTATCATTGTTTATATTGTCACAAGACATATTTATATATGTTGAGTCTGTGTTTAATGCCTTTCTAGTCGTGTTGTTCAACTTTAAAGTCATTACCTCGATAACATGTCACGAATGTATATTTACGCACATTAATGAAATTTATCATATAGTTTCTTGTCTAAAAAATTCATTTTTAGTTTATTTTTCAACATTTTACGTAAATTTTTCAGTTTTCTTAAAAAAAAGGAAAAAAAAACTTANCCTCGTTTAAACATTGATCTATACCCTCGATGGGTTCCATAAATAATAAATTAAACATGGAGGATATTTTTTTATATATATATACATAGATCCAACTTTTTTAAATATTTGATAGATGTTAGGACGCTGGCATGAATTTTATGTGAAAGTTTCTTTTTAATTAAAGAGAATTAGTGTTTTTTTAAGAAAATCATTCATATAACTTTTTGATTCTTTTTTTTTTGTATGGATTAAATAAATAAACTTAGAATTAAACGAGTTTTTCAAAGGAAAAATATATCAAGGATAACGTGTAAAGCAACGTTTCAATAATCCCTGTAATATAATAAATGACAGTGGGTTAGTATCACCATCTTACAACTAGGAATGTGCATTCGCGCAAATAACATTTTTGTTTATCACAAAGTAACGTAATTTTATTTGGAAAAACACTCTACAAAATTAAATATTTGATGAAATTTTAAATATTTAACATAATATTTACGAATTCTAAATAAATATATATATATATACACAAAAAAATTAGATTAAAAAAGAAGAAGAAGAGGAAGATTTTTCAAGATTTGATACGTCAACAGGAATTAAAACGAGGATTGGATCACACTATTCACTTTCTCCACTTCATTTTTTTTTAAATATTTGTTACTTTATTTCAATCCCTTTTCTTGTACTTCATTGTTTTGTTATAGCGTGAGAACAAAGCATTACGAATTTAAAGCGAATTTCTAGGAAATTACATTCGTGACACGAGAAGCTTTTTATCAAAAAACTAACGATGAAGCTTATCGGCATCAATATGTTTCTTTCTTTCTTTCTCGTTCTTATTTTTATTTTATTTATTTATTAGTTTTTTTCGTAATGTTGTTAAAGTCGAGAGCATCTCTAGCTAGATAGATACTTTGATACCAGAAAGGAAATAAATAAGAAATGAGACATTCGCGTATGGAAAAATACTAACATTTGAATTGCATTAAGAAAATATTGAACAAGATTCGTGATGTTCTTTTTTTCCCCCATATATATATATATATAATCCCGATTTCCAATAGGTTACAGAATGAAGAAAGTGCTTATTTCCGCAGGAAGCTGAGATATTTCGAAAAGTGATCATCTCCAAAATTCAGTTTGTCGACGATAGCATAAAGAACATACAACCTCCAGGGAATTCTGGTCAATTTTTCCAAACATTGAAGAAAGAAAATTTTTTCTTCTTATTTTCTTTCAAATAAAACTCTTGAATTTCTATACATATTTGAGAATTTTTTCAAGGTTTTTTTTTCTAATAAAAATTTTAAATAATTATTTTAAGAAGTTATTTATAAAGTTAAAACTTTAATAATAATAATTAATTTTAAATTAGACTTTATTTACATATCTGTCAACCAGTAGATCGCGATTTACAGATTGATTTCGAACATTCTTTAGATAAAGAAACATGTTTTCCTGCGCTGAATTATATATTGTTTACTTATTAAAATCTTTAATAAATTATTTTATATAATTGTTATAATGGAGAAAATTATTTAACACAATATAAATTACAATAAATTTTTATACGAAATATACTTTTAATTAAGATATTTTTTAGAAGTTATATGTAGGTATAGATGTCTGTTATAAAAAACAACACAAAAAAAAGAAAGGAAGGAAGAAGTGAATTTATCATAATAAAAGTAAGAAATTCACTCGAGAAAATTACATATGAAAATAATCTGTTTACATAAAGTATGCACTTTCAAAATTCATTGCTCGAAATATACATTTTGATGAATTAAATATTAAAATCCATCATTACTATTGCTAAAAGGGATGAGAGATAAAAGGATTCCAACTATTTTTCCCCTTCTTTGCTACAGTTATTCAATCACCAATACATAGTTGGAATTTTTAATGCTTTTTATCAAAGAAATTTGATTCTGAAAGCTTAAAAAAATCATTTTTACTTTCAAAAAACTCATTTTTTTTAGTTTTTTTCAACAGAATATTTGAGTCATGCTTCGAATTATTTGCCTACAATTTATTATGGTTTAAGTAGTTTTTTTTAATTAAAATAGAAGTAAAAGAATTGAAGCATGCTTATAGAAAGTCGTAAGAGAAATGAATATTAAATGAAAAATGCTTTAAATTTGATTTATATAACTCTCATCTTGAAAATATAAGGTATAGAAGAAGGGACATCTTCATTTGTGCCATTCCACGGGGACCAAAGAGAAGTAATAGATGTTCTCGACGTCCCTTTGCAGATCGTTCTGTAGAGACAGGCCATTTGTCTGACTCCGCCAACATGTCACGAAAATGCGATCCCAACTGTCAGAAAATTTAACGTGATTGACGTGCCACCTGATGTGTGTCATTCGGATGCCCTAAGACAACACCCGTGACAAAAATTCTTTTATTCTTTTGTTTTTTGCCACTTCAATTCTTATCATTTCACACTGCTACCTTTTCCATACAAATAATGAAAGAAAGCAACCCTTAAATTAATAGAAATCTTGATTTTTATTCAATAAACCATCATAAATAGTAAGAGAAAGTATATTTCTTAACAAGTTTTCATTTAAAATTTCGTTTCCTAACCGATAGGTGGTAAAACGCCGGTTGGAAACATCCATACTTTTCGACTTCATTTTTTTACTTTATTGTTATTATTCGAGTATATATCAAACTATCAACCTGTGGGTCACGTATAGATTGTTAAGATAATGTATTCTAGAGCAAGACAATAAAACAAAAGACTAAAAAAAAAAATCTATATTTTGGTTGACAAAGTAATCGTTTCGCTTTTGTTATTTCAGATCAGTGCAACACAGCTTATAGAAGAACTACAAATAACATTTTTTGTCTTGTTTGCAAAAGGACGCCTTAAGCTTTTAGCTATCTTCAAAGAAAATTGGTCTTCTACACTCAATGTAGCTTGTGAATCGTGTCCCGGGGACATTGTGTTCCATCAGAAAATTTGATTTAAACCTTATCTTCCCCTCGTTTCTAACTCTGATCACTCCTCTGAGATTTACATCAAAACAATGGTAAAATTTAAATACTTTTCGAACGATTTTATAAAAAAAAACATTTCTACAATTTTTCCATATCTAAAAAAAACATTTTTCTAGAGAATACCTGCTGAATATTACATACATTATCGATTCATTTCATTGATTACATGCATAACCGATAATAATATAATGTACATCTATAGAAGCCTGTAGCATATTTATTCAGCAACGTGGTTAAATGCAACGTGTAAACCAGAGTCAATAAACTTATCCATAAATCTAATCATGCATTTGTTAAGTACACATCCTCGTTTAAACATTGATCTATACCCTCGATGGGTTCCATAAATAATAAATTAAACATGGAGGATATTTTTTTATATATATATACATAGATCCAACTTTAAACTATCAAAAGACCAAACTATTGATTATATATAAAGGAATATATACATATATATATTCATTTCCTTTCGATAAAACTGATGGAAATCCATTGTTTGGTATTATTTTACATAACAAATCCTCTTAATGCTTCTTATTTTAAATTCTCATTTCTGTATTTGCATTTGAATGATGAGTAAAGCTTTAACTAATTCATTGAAGAGGATTTATTTATAATTCAAAATAAATATATAGTAAAGAAATAAATGGGTATAAAACTTTATCGTTGGATACTAAAGTTGTTTCTTCTTTTTCTGATCAAAGATGAAACATTAGCGTAGATTTTTTTGTTTTTTAGATAGAAAACAAAGTTTTTTTTGGGATGAATTTGGCTGAAATCTAATTCCTTTACACGAGAGGCACGCTAAGATCTCACGAAGTTTGATAAAAGTAACACGAACTGGCAGGTTTCTGGTACGAAAAATATACGTAAGAATAAGGAAATTGAAGTTCGTGCCAAGCACGATTACATCGTCACAAACAAACACACACACACACAAAAAGAACCGCGTTTAAAAAATATACCTTTTACTGTAGGTATTTTGTGGTAAACTTATTGAAAATCCGGGTTTCAAAAATCGAAGATATTTTAAGCGAACGTCACGAATTTTTTGGCAAATTGAGTGACATCTTTAATCCTCAGGTCGGTGCTTCCCTCCTCACGTCAGAGGATGGAACTAGTTACTTCTAATATTTTTCCAATGATGGGGATTTTCGGAGGTGTTATAGGAAGAGCTAATAAAGGAACGAATTATCAGTAGTAGAGGATCGGGATGCTTTCCACGATCGAGACTAAGCTTAATTTCCTTTCTGCTTTCGTGACGTGAATACGAGCTGATTTATTTCTCACCGAGGATAGAAATTTGTAATCATCTATAGCTTAGATGAAGCTTGATGGCAAACGTGTTCCATTTCGATTTATCTTTGATCCGAACTGTAAATAAGCAAATACGCAAGAAAAATGTACAGCTTATTCTAAAAAAATATATATAAAAATGCCTTAAGACATTTTATATATGCAAAATTTTTAGAGACGAGTCAAGAAAATTATCCTGGTGGAATTTTGGTATGTTGAAAGACGTGGCACTCGACTCGAAAAATTTATAGAGGAAGTTTGAAAATAGTTTCAAAATTATCTACTTCCCCAGTAGCTACGACAGCATTTTTGTTCTATTCGCAAAACTTGCTATTGAAGAAATTTCTTTTTTCTTTCTTCCACATACATCAAAACTGTTAAGGACGAAATTTAAAAGAAAAACAGGAAAAACAGAAAAAAATATTTGATGGTTACACGAATAAAATCCTTGTCCATGATTTTTTAAACCAAAACAAAAACAAATAAATCAGTTATTTATCCGATTTAATGTGAAAAACTGAATTGTTTGTAGATATTAGGGGTGAATTTTTCTGGTGGCAAAGATTATTCAGGAGATAGAGAAGCGATGAGATCACATTCATCATTGTCTTTGCTACTGCAACTTTTTATCTCAACTAAATCTATTTCTGTGTAATCTCTTCCTCCTATCTTCTACTCCGATCAATCCCACTATTCGAATATACACAGTTTTCTTATTACTGCACCTTGTTCTTGTTTTTTTCCTTTACTCCAAATGGTTTGACTATACTTTCTTTTCCTTACTCTACTTCTTTTTTCCCTCATGGTTACTGGAATGGAGTATATATATATATATACATGTCCCACTTAAAAATTTAAAATTCTTTCTTTTTTTCAGTATACTTGCGACCCAACGGTATACTTTTCCCAGTTTATTTATTTTATCCAGAAACACATTCGAGACAGAAAGTAAAAATTAATTTAATAGCTTCTAAAAAAATCAAGAATTTCTCATGTAGACTACGCATTTCTTCAACGCATCTTTGCTGAAGTTTGAAACAGAATATGCAATGAGTTCACACACTATCTCGTTGCAGATATCGACCTAATCTAGAGAACCCGCATCACGTCGTGAGAGAATTTTCACCTGCCCAGGTGTGTCTTTTATCGCGGTCACGTGACATGCCCGACATATACAATTTTAATATCCTATTCCGTACCGGAAAACACCAAAAAACCTACTAAAATGCATTTAGATATCGAGTCGGACGGGATTATAAATTATTCAAAACAATCAAAAATGATAGGAAGTCTACGGTTAACTTTCCTATTGGTTTGCGAGTCGTTACTTTTTGGTGATGGAACAGAAAAGCTCCTCCTAGTTCTCTCTCGTTAACGTTAATAGGACTACTCATTTATTAATTCTAAGTTGTAGCAATTACCCGCATACCGATATAGAATGCAAACAGTACAGCATAACCCTCATCCATAACGTTAAACGACACATTAACTCAGTCAAAGGGTACGAATTGATGACGTAGAAGAACATTCCAACTATATTTATACAGAACATCACGTCTTAATGGCCAAATAAGAAAATTTAAGTTACTCTTTAGAGTATCAAAGATACGAAGAACGACAAAAAGGCATTCTTCAGTTAAACGTGCTTCAAGACCACCGTGTGTAATTCTACATTTTCCAATGTATAAAGATAAAATCGCAAATTTTGGGTACCTGAAGAGTTAATAAAACCACCGCTTTTGTAGTGTAATTTCTGAACTTTAACATCTATAGAATGTAGTTAGTAAACGCTTCCCTGCACAACTTCGTTCATTATTAATGTTCCCATTTGCCAGTTCTATCCCTGACCTCCACGAATGTATTCAATATTTCAAGCAGCCATTAGTAATCACGGAAAATCCCGTCTGGTTGTGTTAATTCTCTCGACAGATTAGTAAGAGTAACGAGCGCTAGATAGATGAATAACGATTTTCTTGACCCTTTTTTTCTTTCTTTCTTTCTTTCCTTCTACTTTTCTGTAATAAAAGACAATAAATATTCGACAGAATTGACGATTTTCTTATTTTTCATAAATTTAATTTAGATATTAATGTGTAAATTAGAGTGCAAATATAATTTTTAAAGCGTTTTTTAAATGTTAGAAAACTGTTAACGTTTAACTGAAATGAAAAATAAACAGTCGTTTTTAAATATTTTAAAGTAATGCTTTTTTTTCCATTTAATTTACAAGTAATAAACATAAATTAATCTTCCGAATTAAAAAATATGTAAAAATTTAACTTAAATGCAAATATTTCTTCCCGGATCCAAGACTTCTTAGAAGTAAAAAAAGAACTAGATTCACAAAAGTGTGATTTAAAAACTTACGATTTCATACTTATTATTTGGTGAATAGTAAAATATCTTATATCTTATGGCTTAAGGCCACGACAAAGTCGAAATCCGCTCCTCAAGTCACTTGCAGTTTTGATGCTCCTAAGTGTTTTTTCCTTTATATACAAGAAATACAATGAAATAAATACTTTAAAGAGCCAAAAAGGTTAATTATTTGGAAACAGGCCCTACCACAGGAATATAGTCCAAATGGTTCCGTTCCCATTACTAGAACCTCCTGCTGAAGAAATGAGGTGACATCTGTCCATATCCACCCTTCAGCAAAACTCTCGCTTCAAGTTTGTCAATATAATAATAAATAATTTTAAAAAATTTATTTAAATAATATAAAAATTTAATTATAAATCATATATTATCTAATTTAATAATTTATATTTTCGAGTGATTAGAATAAGAGATAAAAGTTTTCCCGTCTTCATTATCTTATCAATGCATAAAAATAGCATTTAATTTTCTTTTGTATCAACAAAAATAAAATTTGAAAATAAATTATTTTCCTAATGAATTTTAACACAAATCTTTAATTAAAAAAAAAGAAAGAAAATGATATTTTAGCAAGAATTTCGGAGCAAGAAGCGTCAATTTTCTTAAATAAATAGTGTAGAGGAGAGCAGCTTTGTGATTTGTCAAAACTGATCTAAGACGAATTTCGTTAAGATTTGCGCTTCGGGCCTCTTCTGCTCTCCATCCTCTAGTGACAAAACAGGAGGAGGAGCTCGGAAAATTCCCTATCGATCCGATATCTGTTGTAGCCCGGGGCTTGTAAAACACGCCAAAATGTTACAATTGATTACAGCTCCTCTCCAGCATGCAACGAACACTCCACTTGCAGCAGATATGTTTGTTGTATTCAGTAATAAGATTGTGCCTCTGGTGAAGCGTTTCTTTCAACCAACAAAACTTTTTCCAAGAAAGATATCCATCTAACCGCTCTCTACTTTCTTTGTTCATCTCACGTACCATCGACTATACATGAATATTTTACTAAGAATTAACTTGACTCGAATGTCATTAAGTTTGATACAAAATAAATAGATTTTCTGATCTACATCGCCAATGTCTAGCATCCAAGAGGATATTCGCTTGAAAGAACTTTTTGAATTTTCTTCGAGAACCAACACTTCAAAAATTGCTTGATTTATTAAAAACGAAGAAGAAGAAAATCTTTTATTCATTAAATTTTTATATCATTTTTGATAATAAAATTCGAAAATTATAATAAAATTAACATTCTCTACCATCAATTCCGTGTTGTAGTAAATGGGCCACGTGTCTGGGAAAAGTGTATCATCAATCAAAATATCAGAATATTCTGTAAATTAGCAAGAAGAATAAGTTAATAGAATCAATTTTTCTCTTAATGACGATCTTTGTTGAAACGAAGCGAAATAAATGTATGAAGTGCAAAAGATAATCAAAGAGGAATTTCTAAAGACCAAGGAAAAGTAGCAGCTGCTACTCGACAATCTACTAATTTTCGTTTTACAATCCGATAAACATCTTAAACCTTCTAAAAATATACACATACCTCGAAAAAAATTATATTATTACATCGAAATTCTAAAATTTTTCCTCGTTTCTACATAATTGTTATCATCACTTCTATCAATTGATGGATGGCAAAGTTGGTAAATTTCATCTGACAGTTTTCTTCAGTAAATTAATAAATGATTTCTTCTCTCGATGAAGGATTTATTTTCATATTTAAATTTTATATTTTCTTAACGTTTCAATCGTTCATAATATATTTTTAAACGTAAGGAATATTGAAACGTTAAACCATTATTCACGCAAAATCGCTGGAACGTGATCATTATCCATTTGTCGATAATCATGGATATAAATAATTTATAAACGGTTTAGTTTTTACAAATGGATAATAAATTCATCAATTATGCTAGCTAATATTCCTGTATAATTATCTATATAACATTAGTGAAGGATGGTTTCTCACAATGGTACTTTACCAAATTGATTAGAAAAATGAATGTTTTCTTTTTTAATTTCTAAAAAATTTAATAATCTATCTTGTTAAAGATTTTCTAAAAAGTTGGAATTTTTTTTAAATTTTGTTAAGAATTAAAAGAAATTTTCGTAAGATTTTGCAAAGAATTAAAATTTTTGAAGCCTTTCGTTAAAGATAAAACGAATTTTGAAAGATTTTTGTTAAAAATTAGAAGATTTCTTCTTAGAGAATTTTCTAGGAAGTACAATAACTAAAGATATTGATGAATGTAAGAAGTATTTTGGTAGATTTAGCTAAGAGTTAAAGGAATTTTTCGAAAACTTGTTGATAGAAAACTTTTAAAAACTCCAGAAAATCTTTCAAATTATTTTACTAAGAATTGGAATATTATTAAGCATTTTCTTAGCATTAAAAACTCTGAAAATATACCTCAAACAAGTACAAAATCTTATTAGTTAGCAAATCTTTAATACATTTAACAGGATTTTCAAACATTTACAAAGCTTTAATACATGTTAAATAATAGAAAGTTATTTATTCTATCAAGAATTTTATTCTTTATTGTGTTAGATGGTGTTTATAAGAGCGTTTTGCCATAAAACTCAAAAATCTGATTGCGTCTAATATATTGTCATCGAGTAGCAACAAGAATCTAATCAATTTATTGTCAGAAACGAGGACGACGATTGTTGCTGAGCAGGAGTCAGACAGACTGGAGTCAAATGCAGTTTTTTATTGTCTTTTTGTTCTTTCTCTATTGGCGACTTTCTCTTTAGAAATGAACTTGTTTGCTGAAGTATATGATAAGTTGGAAATTTTTAAAATTAAGATTTTTTTCCTGAAAAAAACAATTTCCTTTTTCTCTACACACAAAATATTTTCCACTGCACAATCTCCAGAAGAATTTCTTCAGCAATTGGACTTATAAAGATTTTTTTTTAATTTTTTGAAAATTTGAAAAGTTTTCAACACTTGAGAGTGTTCTTATAATAAATATCAACAAAAACACAATAAAAATTCAATTAAAATCTTACAATAATACGATTTTATAAAGAAACCTTAAAATATTAGGCTATAGGAAAAAGACAAAAATTATTTATTCTAAGAAGATTTTGGTACTCGAAAGTATTTTAGACTGATTGTAAAAGGACTCACATTGGCAAATCTTTATATAAAAATATAACTGGCAGTCAAGATTTTCTTCAAAGGATCACTGGATATTGAACAGGTAAGGTTCTTCTCGACAAACAAACCTAATGGATTCTCTGAAGTCAAATTCGAAGATGCTGGCTTTCTTTCCAATATGATATGCTTCTCTATTTTAAATGCCATGTTCGATATCCACTTCAAACTCAATTCTAAAAGTTGGAAACAGGAGGAAAAAAACGAATCATTTTTATTTGTTGTCTGTCCTTATACCATATCCTCCAGGCTGGAAAGTGGCCAAACAAATCCTCTTCTACAAAGTGCAGCCAGTTCTTTGTATGAAATAATTCACTTTTACAACTTTCCTTGGAACCCTGAGTAGCCATTTAGCGATGGACGTTAGAACACGTAGCAAAAATATATTTTTAGTGCCAACTACTTCCCCATCCACTGATACTTTTATAAATTAAACAAGAGTTTTCTTCTTTCGGTGATGAAAGAGCAATAAAAATACGTTAATGGACTTTTTCTTTGATCTATATTATAAAGTTATTCTTATTTTTCTTTCGTCTTCAACGTTTTCTTCCTTTACTTAAATTTTCAACATTTTAAGTAATTAGATTCCTAAAAGATGAGGGATGTTTATTATTATTTATTATTTTTCCAAAAAATCTGATATTGTCTTTCCTTTCTATACTTTGGACCTTTTCCAAAAATTGGAGCCTCCGAGGATTATCTGAGGGATCACCAAACAGGACTTACTTCTAGTCTACGAAATTACTTTCTCTCTTTTAGGGTGCCGCCTTGGAGTTACCATAGCAACGGACAAAGTTAGTTTCATCCTCAGAGTTTCACATTGAATTATTTCTAACTTTCTTCCACTAATATTTTGCACCGAAGAGCAAAATATTTTCATCTTTGGTATAGAGCAAATCTATCTTAAAAAATTCAAATCTAGAATATAAATTAGCGCAAAATTAGAACATAAATTTGTATAAGTTTTAGATATTCTTGTTTAAAAATCAAAAACTTTTTTCTAAAGAAAGCAAGAAAGATAAATCGAATATTGGATTTTTTTCTCCTTCAATGTCGGTAGGTGTTACACCTGTACATCGTGATCTTCTATACATAAATCATTGTTAGACATAAATGGTAGGTCTGTATCATCAAAATATATAATCATGTACCAACCACATCTGTCTACAAGACAGAAAGTATTAGAATAAACTGTCTTTAGTCATTTTCCCTTCTAAAAATCCAAGAAAAAATAATAATAATCCATGATTATAGTGATTTTCTTAAATCTCGTTCGTCAGTATTTTTTTTATTAATCACTCCNGGAAGAAAATCTAATGAATTTGCCTTACAAAAATCAAATTTTTAAGAAAAATTTGATGAGAAAATTTAAGAATTGAAAGAGAAATCAGTTTTTTAATTATGAATTTAAAGATTTTATTGTAAAATTCGTCTGAATATAATTTATGGAGAATAATTAAATTATAAATTAGAAAAGCAATATTTAATAAGAAATAATGGCGCTAAATTTTATGTACATCTGTAAACTTTTAAGAAATATATTTGAAGTTTTATCAAGACAATGTACGATAAAAGTAAAAATTATTGATTTGTTTAAGCTGAAAATGTTCACAAAATACACAAAATTATCATTTAAAATTTATAATCAGAGAAGGGAAGCATATATTTAACAATAAATTGTAAGGAACCTTTTGCTAGTTGTGTTGAAATTTTGCCAAAACAAAGTTTTAAAATTTGAAAAGAGAAGTGAGAATTTAGAGAAGAACAGTTTAAGAATTCCCAGATTTTCAAAATTCTGGGAGATAGTTTGAACTGAGTCCATTATTTAGGATCAATAAACTATAAATAATTTTATTTGTATAACTTTTAATCATTGTAATTTATTACATCACGTGCTTCCTAAATTAGGGTTTGGCCACTTTGTAAGATGGGTTTTAGAATTAGAATAGACGAAAAGTTAAAAAATAAATAAATAGCTTGTAATATTTTCCGGATAACAGTTAACTCAATTATTTGATAAATATTTTGACATTAAAATATTCATTCTTTCAAAGTAAAAGTATTGTAAATATATTCGATAAGAGTTAGTATAAAAAATTGTTTATGATAGTAATGAATTGCAGAG